GATTTTTTTTGCACCCTCAGATTCCAGATTTTCAAATAGTTGTATCTCAGCCAAATATTGTCCTATCCTAACAAACCATACATCAATGGAAAGATTATATATTCAGCTTTGAGATGGTGTATAAATCTAAATTTTGAAAAAATAAAATAAATAAAAATTCATAAAAACTATTTAGACATTTAATAAATAAACAACAATAATAATAATAATAATGACAAAAACTCAACTAAATCACAAAAATGTTAACCAAAATTAAACTGAAAACAATAAATATAAATATAATGGATGGGCGATTTTTATTTAAGTTCTTTTGGACTGAAGCAACGCAACACCCGCTGACTGCCATTAAACAGCTTGAAAGATCAAAGACAATTTTTTATATAACTCCGACTGGATTCGTCTGAAAGAAGAAAGTCATATACACCTAGGATGCCTCGGGGGTGAGTAAAACGCAGCCTAATTTTCATTTTTGGGTGAACTAACCCTTTAATATTTAAAAAAAGAAAGAAAAACTATGTGTGTGTGTGTGTGTGTGTGTGTGTGTATATATATATAGCCATTTGTCTGCACGTTTTCTTTTGTTGTACTGTTATTCCATTGAAATTTGGTATAACTGCACTACAAATAATCAATTCTGCTAAATTAAGGAATGTAAACATATGCAGTAATAAAACCATACATACATGTACAGCTATTGTTAGTCTGATATGAAGTGCATTTCAGGGAATTCTGCCTAAACTCTCCTCCTCCAAATCATCAGAAATTTGAGCTGACGCCACAGTCTAACTCAACCTCGCTCTGAACTCAACCTGATTCAACACGTACTCACCTGGTCCACGTTAAACCTTTTGACATAAACGGTCTGAACTACAGCTTTAAATACGAAGCTCTCAAAACACCAGCTCTATTCATAACCCTGAAACTCCTGAGAGACTCCAAGACCATTTTAATGGCTCAAAAACATATTTAACATTGTTGTATCAAGGTTATACTAAATAACGTATCCTAATATATAACATATTTAGATATAAACTGTGATGAAATCCAATAAATTAATATGCACTGTTCTTTTCCTGCACTGTAAAAAGTTTTAACCTGCAATTGTTGCCTAAAAGAGCCTTTTTACCTGATTTAACCCAGAAAAATGAAATTTGTTGGGAATAAATGAACGTATTTAGGTAGATTCAGTAATGTTAAATATTATTTTTGACTTGAATAAAACTTTGATTTAGATGTTACCATTTGTAGGTTACTATTTTTCTCAGTGGTCAAATCCTCAAAACAGAAATGTCTTTATAAC